GGGGGGGGGGGGGGGGGGGGACGTCCCAGGGCAGGAGCGGCGCGTCTCTTCCCTCCCCGAAGGCTGGCGGTGCTGGGGGGCAGCCGGGCTCCAACGGCACCGAGTCTCCTCTCACTCACCCCCGCATGGTGAACTTGGCCACGACGAGCCGGGAGCCGGCAGCGCTGAGCTCGGGCTGGAACTCGGTGTCGTTGGCGATTACCTTCATCCCGACCATCCTGGCCGGGGACCCCGCCACAAGCGGAGGCTCGCGCCGCAAACCCCTCCGCTTATCTGCACAGTCACCGCGGGAAAGAGGTGCGCCCAGCATGCACCGTAACCGCGCAGGCGCAAACCGGGACCCTGTCCTGCGCGGCTTGGTGCCTGGGAGAGGGAGGAGGGGTGGGCGGGGCCGACGGTGCATGACTCCGCTCCTCGCGCACGCACTCGGCGGCCATCTTGCTGTAGGGCGGATAACGCCGTGGGGGAGATTTAGCAGCCATTTTGAGTAAGGGACGGGGGCACCTCTCTAGTGGAGTCCTACCCGGAGAGACCAACAACGGCCATCTTGGTTTGGGGCGGAGAATAGGCCTGCGGGGGTGTTGACACGCAGCGTATCGCCGTGCAGAGATGGGACCCCTCCTGACGCCGAAAGGAGCTAACTTGGGGAGAGGTCTTGAGTTGCCAACTCTCCCGGACCGGCACTGTTACACCAAATGGCGTTCGGTCTGTTTGGTCTATGGAGTTGGCAACTCCATCCAGTGCAGTGCGACTCAGCGATGCAGGGGCGCAGCTGAGCCGCTGGAGCTAAGGGCAGAACCTGAGCTCTGCACGGAGACTATCCATGGGGAGCCTGCTTAAAGCCAGCTACTCTTGAGCACTGGTTCCCGCTTCCCCCACCCTTGCCCTTTGCTACAGAGGTAGCAAGATGAGGGTAGTCCATGTAGTTGACAGGATTAATTGATAATCATTTATCAGTTATAAACGATAATTGGCTTATCAGTTAATTGTTTACTCAACTATACACTAACATCCCAAATGGAGACAAGGACCTTGCAGAGATATTTGATTATATTACCTGATGCTGGGATTTGTCTTGGATGCTGTATGTTTCCACAAAAAGCGGAGGGTAGGTTTAAACTGAATACAAAGGATTCCCACCTTTTGCAAACCCTATTTAAGGGTAGGAAGTGAGGTAATCCAGGTAGCCAATTGTCCCTGACTAACCTATGCCAGATGACTGTTGGAAACAACTAAGACTGAACTGGGGGAAGTAACTTGGCCCATGCTGGAAGAATGTCTAGTCTGTGAAGATTATTAGAACTTTTAGAGTGAGGTATTACATGTAGTTAGTTTCTTTAGTGTATCAAACTTATCTTGTGTGCTTTTATTTTGCTTAGAAACCTACTTAGTTCTGTGTGCTGTCTCTTAGGATCACTTACGGGGAGGGATAGCTCAGTGGTTTGAGCATTGGCCCGCTAAAGCTAGCATTGTCAGCTCCGACCTTGAGGGGGGGCCATTTAGAGATCTGGGGAAAATCTGTTAGGGATGGTACTGAGTCCTGCCATGAAGGCAGGGGACTGGACTTAATGACCTCACAATGTCCTTTCCAGTTCTATGAGATAGGTATAGCTCCATTTACTATTTAAATCCTGTTTTATACTTAATAAAACCATTTTTGTTTATTAATAAACCCAGCATATATAATTGTTACCTGAGTAGGGGGCAATAAGTCTGTGTGTATCTCTCTTTACATTGAGAAAGAGAGTGAATGTGAATAACCCCAGGGCTGTTGCTACACTTGGAAGGAGAGAACGCTGTGGGGAGCACAGAGCCAGCAGGGGACTCAAGCAATCCCCTGCTGGCCTGCTCTCCCCCAGTGTTTCAAAGCGAAAGTGCTGCATGGAGCCTGGGGTCAGCTGGGGACTCATTTGACGCTTCCACTTTAGGCTTCAGGCTTCACGCAGTGTTTCAAAGCGGTAGTGCTACATGGAGCCCAGGATCAGTGCAGGACTCCACAGCTGACCCCCAGCTTCATGTGGTTTTCAAAGTGGCAGACCCTGGGCTGCATGCAGTGCTGCCATTTTGAAGCACTCTCTCTTCATCTCCCCCCACCTTGCTGCTTCTTTCTGATAGAGGCAGTGGGAGGGGGGGAGGTGGAGCAACTAATCGACTAGTGTGTTGACTAGTGGTTCACATCTCTAGTCCCAGGTGGGTCTTGACACATCACAACCACTCACTTTGCTCAAATACTACTTCTTTGGACAGGTGAGCAAGTTTCTCTGTCTTTCAGGACATATAATTTCTCACTGATCATTTCAGTATCAGTCTTTCACTAGTGTTGTTCTCTTGTTCCTTGACAATTTCTCTTTTGTGCATTGATGATAAATGATCAGTCAGATGGGAAAAGCCAGAGTCCACATCTACTGTCAATTTATTTCTATTAAGATTCCTAGTAAATCTCTTCAATTTTGTCAAAATGTTTTCCCCTTCACTGCCTGGACTATATAAGATTGTGTATGCATTTGCTCTTGAATGGTATTCGCTTAGCCCCATGTATTTGAAGTATGATTCCTCAGGCATGCTCTATCATCTAGGTTAAGAGACAGAGTGATCACAAGTCCTTTTGTCAAAATAATATTTATGTTTTTATTTCTTATTTTCTTTCATTTTCCCTATGGCTTAATTGTTATGGGATTTCAGCAAGCTGTCAGTAATTGGTAAATTAGACTTGATCTTTCTTGCCATTATGAGCTGAGCTGGAGAACAGCCATTCTTCTGGGGTGTACAACAGTAAAATAGTAATGCTCTACACATCCACTGACAATAGCCTTTTTCATAAGGTTTTTTTCTGTCCGTATAGACTTTTCCACATTTGATTGGGGATAATTTGAACTTGATGTTTTCTGATGAAAATCCCAAAATATTGCGAATTGTCTAAAATCTGTACTGAAAAATTGTGGCCCATTGTCATTAAAGATTTAATCTGGAATCCCATGTTTGCAAAAGATTCCCTTCATGCAGGTGATCACTGATGTAGGTCACCTCTACACTTCAGAGTTAGGTCAATTTAAGTTTCGTTGATGATCATGAGCTGCTTTAATTACATCAGTTGTGCATGTCCATATAATGCTGCTTCTGCTGTTGAAGTGCATCCACAGCTCCCCTGCGGAACCAGGTAAGCATCCGTTTTTCGTTTTCACTCTAGCTCTTCACTTCAGAAGATCTTTGCTATGAAAAAAGGGCCTAGAAGGAATGTTGACCCATCCTAACAAAGGATGTACTCCAGAGACTTTTAAAATAGCAGTTCACTTAATATCTGAAAAGAGCCTACACCAAGAACTTTGTGATTGGTGTATGTAATGTAATTTTTAACAATTCTACTTTCAACCTTTTATTTTTTCTTTTATTAATAAACCTTTAGATTTTAGATTCTAAAGGATTGGCACAGGGTGCTTTTTGGGGTAAGATTTAAGGTATAAATTGACCTAGGAATGTAGTTGGTTCTTTGGGATTGAAAGAACCTGTTTGGATTTGGTGAGATTGATTTTCATAACCTCTCATCTGAGTAAGGTGCAATACTAGTTGTGGTACAGGGAAAGCTGGAATGTCTGAGGAAATTGTTTGTGTGACTTCTTCCTGTCTAATGTGGCATAACTGCTCCGTATGATTGATTTGGTGTGTCTTATAGTGAAGGACCTCTATTCTTGGGCTGTAAGTAGCCCTGTTTCTATGCAATTTGCCCTGATTTGACCCTCTCAGCGGTGCCCCCAGAACCTGCTACGAAGGACTACAGATCTCAGGAAAGGGCAGGAAATACTTGATTACTTTGAGGCAATGTGATTCCCTGACTGCAGTGTGGCAATAGATGGAATACATATCCTAATTTTGGCCCCACGCCATCTTGTGACAGAGTACATCAAACTGGAAGGTCTAGTTCTCCAGGGTTTTGCAGACACTGAGGCTATTTCACTTGCATTAATGCAGTATGGTCAGGGAAGGAGCATGTGTGTGCATCTTTAAGAACATTGAACTGTATAGAAAGTTGCACATTGGGACTTTCTTTCTAGACCAGAAGTTTCAAACAGGAGAGGTGGAAATGCCCAAATATTCTAATGGTCATTGTAGCCTGCTGTGCTTTGCATCCCATTTGCAAAACTAAGGGGTAAAAGTAAACAGTGATGGAGTGCTTAGCTTTAGGTATATCAGCTGACTGCTGATTTTGAGCAACCAGATATCAGGGCACTTAGATGGGTGTTAGGATGATATCTGATTTAGGGATTCTTTGAAGAAGCATTTTTACAATGATTCCTGGTAATGTGTCTTTATGTGATTCAGTCAGCCAAGAAATGTTTACTTGCCACCTTGAGTTACTCTTGTAGTGCTTGCTTCCTGAACATTAATTGTACAGACCAAATATTCATGGCTATAGCTACTGTGTTTGAATATTAGCACCAATTAACATGTGTATGACACAAAGACCCATTTGATATCAAAGACTGAAATTTGCAAACAGAATAAGACTTTTCTTTTTTGGTCAAATGGGGGACATGGCAATAACAAACAGTTTCTAAGTTACAGCTCTTAGGGTGTGTCTAGACTACAGCTTTTTTTAAAAAAACGTGGCCTTTTTTCGAAAAACCTGCGTCTAAACTGCTGTCACATTCTTTTGAAATTAAATCGAAAGAATGCGGAATTGCATCCACACTGTGCTTTTTCAAAAGAGAGCATCTAGACTCTCTGTCAAAAAAGCGGCTTGCTTTGTCGACAGAACTGGCTGTAGTCTAGATGCTGTTTTTTGACAGAGGCTTTGTCGACAATATCTGTTGATAAAGCCTCAGTCGACAAAAGCTTGTAGTCTAGACGTACCCTTATAGATGTGTGTTTCCAGCTTTCATTAAGAAGCTAGTCCCTAGGAATGGAGTGCACAGGGTTCTGAGAGGGACTTGGACTATGTGAAGTATGTGGTGGAGGAGTGTGTAGTGCATCTTCCCTTAGAGCATACTATCACTAGGTCAAGCCTACTTGTCCTCAGCACTTGTTGGGTGTGACCATGGAATGCAGGCTTGTACTCACGAATTTCTGTGGGGAAGTGATTTTTTTGAAAATGTGGACCGCAAAGGTGTGAATGCACCCCCTGTGGTCCTCCAAGTAAGAGGGAAAATCAGCCTCAGCCTTCCTCTGGCCTGCCAGAGCATGGGGAAGGGAGCCTTAGACAGCAAGCCGCTCCTGCCTTAACCTGGCTGGCCGTAGCATACTTGCTTGGGGCACAATGGGGGAGTGCTTTCACACCCTTTGTGCCACCCCCTTCATCCCCCCGCATACGGGCCTGGAA